AAGTTTGTGCCTAAGTTCTCTGTCATTGCTCACCCACTCTCACGCCTGACTAGTAAGAATGTTGCCTATGCGTGGTGTGAAAAGTGTGAGACTGCGTTCCAAGCCTTGAAAGAGGCTTTGGTGAGTCATCCTGTGCTCCGCATTGCGGATCCCAACCTCACATTTGTAGTCACGACGGACGCGAGCCAGTCTGGGATTGGTGCAGTGCTGCAACAAGATGATGGTGATGGCCTGCGTCCGCTTGAATATTACAGCAAACGCATGACCAGCCACAAGGTAGCCACTTCCAYMTACATGCGGGAGCTCTACGCCTTGCGCGAGGCGCTCACGCATTGGAAGCRCTACCTCTTGGGTCGCCACTTCAAGGTCTATTCAGATCATCAGACCTTSCAATGGATTAAGACACAAACTGATCTCTCTCCAACTCTGACCCGCTGGCTGCATGACATTGATGTTTTCAACTTTGAACTAAAACATAAGAAAGGTTGTTATAATCGTGTTGCTGATGCTCTGTCGCGCCATCCCGAGTATTTGACTTGCCTTGTGGACTCGTACGACCTTCAGAAACTGAAGGAGGATCTGGTCGAGCACACTGCCAAGGATCCGGACCTTAGTCCCATCCTTGAGCAGCTCAAGGCTGACCCCAACAGTCACCCTGATTTTCATGAATGCGAGGGTCTTGTATTTCGCCGGTACGGAAAGTTTGACCGTCTGTGTGTACCCAACCATGCGCCTCTCCGAACTCACTTCTTGGATCTGGCGCACGGTCGGAGTGGACATTTTGGCTTTGAGAAGACTTATGGAAGTCTTCTGCAGCAATTTGATTGGCCAGGAATGAAAGGATCTGCTCAGAAATTCATTGTTGAATGTCAAGTATGCCAAAGAATGAAGGTTCACACGCATAAGCCTTATGGCCTACTAAGACCTCTCCCCATTCCTGATGGACCCGGTGAATCGATTTCCATGGATTTCACGGACATGGGAAAGGTGAGTGAGGCTGGGAATTCACAAGTCATGGTCATTGTGGACCACTTCTCCAAATTTCTGAACTTGATTCCTCTCCCTCCTCACGCCCCGACTGAACTTGTAATAGAAGAATTCCATCAGCAGTACATTCTGCAGTCCGGCGTCCCGAAAACTATTGTGAGTGATCGAGACACCAGATTCATCAGCAAAGATTGGAAAGACTTCACGTCTCAGATCTACGACATCAAACTGAACAGGACTTCTGGTCGACACCCCGAAGCCAACGGATTGGCTGAGGAGATCAACCAGACTGTCATCCAATTGCTTCACGCACTAATTGTTCCAGATCAAAACACGTGGGACAAGGAATTGCACAAAGTGAAGGGGCTGTACAACAACTCCATCCATTATGCAGCTGGTGTGACACCAAACCAATTGCAGTATGGATGGCCTATGCGTAATCCCCTCTCCTATCTGTTCCCCGAACGGTCACCTGGTCTGATGCCCGACATGCCTGGCTACAATGCCAAGTACGCACGCTTGCTCAAAGCTGCTACAGCAGCTATGAACAAGCGCCAGCATGCCATGATCAAACATGCCAATAAGCTGCGCAAAGAAGAAAAATTCAAAGTAGGGGATTATGTTTGGGTCAAAATGTCTGAGTTTTCTGATGAAGAGGGCATATCACGGAAGCTTCTTCCACTGTACTATGGCCCTCGGCAGATTCTGAAGGTAGTCGGGGATGACTTCGGTCCTTCGTACGTGATTGACGTGCCTCCTCACCTGCGCACGTATCCAGTCTTCCATGCCTCCAAACTGTTCCCACACATTGATGATGAGACTTTTCCCTTCCGTGACCCTATGACACCTCGCCCTATTGACGGAGGCCATGAGATTGACAGAATCGTTTCTCACGAGGGGAGAGGGAGGAACAAACAATACAAAGTTCATTTCCTCTACCACCCGTTGAACGAATTCTTCTGGATCGACCGGAAAGAACTGATAAAGAGTGCTCCACGTGTTGTGAACGCATATGAACAACAGATTGTTGACGGGCAGACCGCTAAGTTTGCTGCAAAGCTCACTCCGTTTGGACTCACTAACACTCTCTTTTTTATCTATGCCTATGACGCCTTCTGTGCCGACTCTGACTGAGTTACTCGCTAGAAGGGACCTCGCTCTCGAGAGGGGAGTAATGTAATGACCCGCCCAAAACACAGACTGAGAACACTGCTGATTTCTGGGATTTGTCAATGGAATGAATGCCTTGTTGTGATTCCCGCATTCTGCT